GTCTATCGCCTTGAATAAGCCCTAAAAATTTCCCTATACACTCTATAATCTGTACCTGTGTAAGACTCCTGTCCTAAAAATATTCTAGTGAAAGCAGGGACCTCTTGAGTGACAGATTGTTCAGCCATTTTCTTAGCAGCCTCACTTTCATTGACAGCAACATGCTTGGCCACATTCTTTGCAGCCTCACGTTCCTTGATTAGCAATGCCTTTGTTTCCTGGAACTGGAGGTGTATCTCTTCCAAGGCAGACTTTAATTATACATTTTCCTGTGACTGTAGCTGTATCTCTTTCTCAAGATCAGACTGCATCAATTGTTGCATGCCTTTAGAAACAAACAATACCAAATTTCCCAAATAGCCATGCAGTTTACAGATTCTAGAGAAATAGGAACATCATATATTAGTGTCTCATGTTTCTTTGTTATTCTTTCTAATAATGTTTCCCAGACCAAGAAGTTAGGCAGGTAAAAAAAAGGACTATCCAAACATATAGCTTACAAGCAGAAAATTTATTTGCAAGAAAATATCTATAAAAAAGGAATCTACCCTCATTTGTTTCTCAAGCTGCAGGTGCAAAGTGAGCTCTTCAACTTCCTTTTCCAACTTGATTTTGTCTTCTCGGAAAGCAGCAGCTTCCTTTGCAGCCTGTAGAATTTCGTAAAGAATTAACTTTGGGAAATCATGAATATAATCATTATAAACAATCAAATTTTATTTCACAAAATAATTAAAAATTAAGATTAAATAACCCAGACACCATGGTATCCTAGCACCCAGTAAAGAATATTCAGAGAAGAGTAGAGATATAAAGAAAGAGGATAACACCATTTTTAGCTTCCGTAGTTCTATATGTGCAACTTTTACTTTCCATGCACATTAATTCCATAATATAGAAGTGAGCAATAACAAACCAATCGGAGAAAACAAAGTAATCTTATAGATTGCATACTACAATCTGGATTGGTTTAATTTCACTACAATAGCATGTTAATGAGATATGGTCAATACAAAAAGCAGTCAGTTCCATAATCCTTCAAAAATGAAAATTGACAGAAATGAGCATCTAATATTTAGTGAAACCAAAGACATAGAACGGCTAATTGTGTACCTTGCATAATTTCTTAAAAACTGGAAAAATAATCTCATCATTTATAACGACTTCAGCATGGCTTCTTACCAAGGAGATCCACTACAAACATAAATAAGTTGAAACCAAAGCTTAATTTTTTATATCGTAGTAGTAAAAAAGATATATAAAACTCATGAAAAAGAGACAAGGGTAGATCTCTATCTTCAGCTATTTTTACAAGGAAAGAGAGGCAAAGATGGAAATAATCAATTCCCATTACTTATTAAATCCAGTTGAAGAATCTAAAGCAGCTCATTAAAAAATCCAGTTCCCCAAACACTCAACCATCTCTATATTAATTTAATGTTATCTATAACAGAAAATGGATAACCTGAGATTCTTTTTGCCACTTGTTTTTTGGGATGATAGGTGACATCTTTGAGCTGTATCTACCATCCTTTACATTAAGAAAGCTACAAAATGAAGTGATTTCTTCAGTAGGAACCAGAAAAGGCTTAAAACAGATAGAACACTATCATTTGATTTATCATGGAACCATTTGTAAAGAATCAATTATAGGCACCTCAAGAATCAAGCAGGCTGCTATCTACCTGTCCACATAGCTCCCTGGAGAAGCCATCAGATACTTGTATATATAACTAAAATTGTAAAGGGGAACACAACTGCAATACAGAAAAAGAAAAACCTGGATTAACATGAACTCAAAGAAAATGTTCTTGATCCAAGGAATAGGAAAATTTCCTCAATTACAATACTAATCGTTGTCCAAGCTTTACAAACCAGTCAGAAAGCATGACAAATCTTTGATTCACCGGGTCTTCTCGAGCAACTGCAAGCAACAACCTCTCCACTTCTATCATGCTTGATTCTCCCCATCTCACCTGCAATAAGAGACCAGGTACGAACTCAAAATCAGATATGCCATTGAACTTAACAAGTTTCTAATTCATCCTTTCAGTTTCCATCCACCAACCAACAATAGAAGAAAAATTACAACTTTGAATCTTAAAAAGTTCCCTGCTTTCACTACCAACAAAAACTTAACTCCAAACTATAATTCCCTTCTTTCCACTACAATATTGTGTATTGATTGCCGCTTTCTTTAATTTTAGATGATGAAGGCGACCCGAGTGTCGTCGACATTGACTCTGTTACAGATATCAACTCATATGGCATCAGTAACATGAACTTATAACAATGGAAATAGTAATTAATAAGAGAAACTATCAAGTAAACATTTTCCTACTTTTTTCCTTAACTTCATAGTATCAATCTTCTAGCCTACTTTTTTCCCCCAAAAATCTCAGATTTGAGATCTCAAGAGGCCCCCCAAAACCCTAAAATGTTTACCTTTTATATCCGAATCCCACACAAACCTTGGCTAGGGTACCTTCCGCGAAACTTCGTCTTAAATTAAGGCTGGGCTGATCATCGGATTAAGGGGTTAAGTCGTAAAGAACTTTCCACGGCAGCACACGGCATTCACGCTGGGGTTGGGCTAGGAGGAAGATGACCTCGATTTTTTCCCGTGCTTGAGTGAAACGACAACATATTTGAAGAGGCTAGATTTATGCTTCGATCCACATATTTCGTCGACCTATCTTTTCGGTCCTCAACTTCCTTCCTTATCACAATTGGGTCCCTGCAGGATAGAACTTTCATTTAAAATTTTTCTCAATTGAGTACAAAAGGCCATTAATTCAATTTAATCCCCATTTTTCTTTAACATATTTTCTAAGTTAATTTTCTGCATCACATTAAAGTTCAAAATTTTTAAATTTTTGTTTAAAACATAAGAATTTATGAGAAATTAATATTTAGAAAAATCAAGATTTCTCCTTTTGTTTTTTCTTTTTCCTTTTTTTTCTTTTTTATATATTTTGTAAAAATATTAAAAGAGGCCAAGCAAAAATTGGGTTATGACATATACCTACGCCAAATAAAATTGTGTAGGTATAGTCCTTCTTTTTCTACGGTTTTTTGATGTGTGTAATTATATCTTAAATTCAAATACCCACAAATTATAAACCGTAATTAATACCTCTCTTATGTATCGACGCCAAATAAATTATGTAGGTATAGTCCTCTTTTCCCTACGGCTTGTTTATGTGTGTAAGTATAACTTAATTTATATATCCACCAATTATAAACTGTAGCTAATGGTGATCTATACCTACAAAGTATTAAACGTAAGTAGAAAAAAGCGTAGGTATATGGCAAATTTGTCATAGTGCACATTCTTTCTTTCATCATTTGAAGAAAGGCCTAGACATCCAAATAAGGTACATTTTCTACTATGACTTAAGTATTGTCTCATTTTTAAATTTGCACGGTAGATGACAATATAAATTATTACTATTATTGTTATTAAATTTTAAAAAAATTTAATGTGGTTTTTAAAATAAAAATAACAAGGTATTAAGTCATGCGTGCATGGCATGATTAATAATGTTATTTAGATGATCACTTTATTGGTGCATAAGGTTCGAAAAGGCTTTTAGCGAAAAAAAAAAAATCTAAAGAATCTAAACTATTAATTATAATTTGTTATATATGATAAAGAAGA